GCAGTGGATTGCAGTGGATCTGCAGTGTATGTGCAGTGTATTGCAGTAGATCTACAGTAGATGTGCAGTGGATCTGCAGTGGATGTGCAGGATGTTTCTCACACAGAGCATCCAGCTTAGACATCTGGTTTCAAGATTTAAGGAGTCAAAAATGATCCCCAATCTCCTTACGTTAACAACTATATTTAAGAGTGAGTCATTCCCTTTGTACATTTTTCAGTGTCTTTTAAACTTCCATTTACTTTCAAGTACTTTCTCTCTGCATTCATCCAGGTTCCACAGGATAACATAATCTTGCGATGCAGAACAGATGAGACGTGGATTTGCCATATTCCCAAATGCCACAGCAGTAATTGGCTGATGGTGTCCTTTTAGGATCAGAAGCTGAAGAAATTAACAAAAACCAAAAGTATCACAGTTTAGAGATAACATTTAAAGAAAGAAAGAACATAACAACATAGCCTCAGTCCTAGGAAGTCAAAGGGATTGAGTTTTTCAAACACATTTATTTCATATATTCATTTCTACTTCACCTGGTGAAACTCCTGTTCACGCTCCACTCAACCACTTCCACAGGTGACCCATCTCACCGCGACTCAGCACCACGCACAGCACATGCTAGTAATGGTGCAGACTCCCTCTTCCCGTCCTTCACTGTTACTAATTAGACAAATGCATATCACATCCCCACAACATGCCAGAAGAGGTAACCGCTGTGCCGAGCACTGAAGGATGAGGAAAATGACAAGGGTCTGACAGGAGGAGGTCCCTGGCAAGGCAGAACATGTCTAAGAAGCTGCTGGTAACAAGGTAAAGCCAGGGGAGGTTGGGCCAGGGCACGGACACCTACGCTACGACAGCTACACAAGAGCCTGGACAGAGCACAAGGAAATCAGATGCCAGCAAAGGATGTGCAAACAGGAGTGCAGTAACCAGACGTGCTTTTCCAGAGCATAAACTTCTGCAAGTTTAGAAGAGATCAGAATGGGGGGCGTGGTCAAAAGAAGAATACAGCAAAGGAGACACAGTGAAGGCAGAAGGAAGGACAGAAGCCAAGGTCACCAGCACTGAAGGCTGAGATCCTGGGTGAACTCAGCACACGGACGAGAGGAAACACCGAGGGTGGGACAGGGTCCGGATGGGCTGGGCTGTTGTCCGATGGGCTGAGGGTCTCAGGCCGCCCCTCGGTGGACAGCTCCACATCCAGCCCTGGCTCAGCTGCACCAGCCCCCTGATGAGAGTGAGCAGAGAAGCTGGACGACTGTTTAAGACATCAGTGAGCAGAGAAGGAGATGAAGAACTAAGATCAGGGGAGAAGAAAATGGAGAGAAAGGGGCCTGGCTCCGGGGCCTCATCTCTTGCAAAGACTCCACCAGAGGCAGCTCCAGACAAGTCCAGTAAAGCATTCGAGAAGCTGAGACATTTATGAGGCTGGGGCACAAAATGGTTGATTAAGTGCATCCTTCTCAAGGCATAAACAGAAGTATCTTATTGGGAGAAAAGCAGAGAATTCTGTCGCATTACAAAGTACTTCTGAGACGAGACTCCACAGCCTTCAGGTCGAGATTCCGTACGCTTTCCTCCTTTAAAACCCTATAAGTGGACTTTAATAACTTTCTGCTTTAAGAAAAAGATACAGCTGCCTAAGGTGGGAGGGAGGGACATGTCACCAAACAGCTAAGGCTTAGAGTAGGAGCCCAATAGACCAGACCCAGGGAGGGAAAGTGAACTGGAAACAGAAGAGACCCCTGCACCAGACCACCTGAGTGTCCTCTCAGCCCTGACTGGGCAGGGGTCACCTGGGATCGCTGGTGCCCACAGCCCACCAGCCATCAGAAGCACACATAAATTCTCTCTGGAAGAAGCTAAGATCATAAAGAGCCTCAAACTCGCTGTCCATCTTTTTCATATATAATGTCTGGTAATCAGTCAAAAATAATCAGATATTCAAGGAGACAAGACCATTCCATCAAAAACCAAGAAAAATAAAAAGTGATGGAAAACACCCACATGCCACTCAGATGGCCTTGAAACCAAGCCAGAACTGAATCAGATGTCAAAACCACTAGACAAGGACATTTAAACAGTCATTACAACTTCATTCCATATGTTCAAAAAGTTAAATAGAGGCACAGAATATATATATACATACATTTTTTAAGACACAATTCTAACTTCAAGAGATGAAAACTAAAATAAAAGATGAGAAACACACTGAGTAGGATTAAAAATAAACCAGACATTACAGAAAAAGCAATAGATGACCTGCCTAGGCTTGTGTCTAGCAGAGAACATGAGTCAATCCCTAAAGATCCTCGAAACAGAAAGCACCAGGCCGTGGCCGGCCCTGACAATTCTACTAGGCATTTAAGGAGGAAATAATACCAGTTCTCCAAAACCTCCTCCAAAGAATAGAAGAAACAGGAGGAAACATGGTTTTTCAGAAAAAAAAGAGGGAATCCTTCCTTATTCGTGTTTTGAGACCAGCATTACCCAAATACCAAAACCAGACAAAGACATTATAACATTACGGACCAATATCTCTCATGAACATAGATGCCAAAATTCTCAACAAAATATTTAAAATACATCAAATCAAGCCAAGGTATAAAAAGAATTACACACTATGACCAAGTGGGATTTATTCCAGGCATGCAAGACTGGTTCAACATTCAAAACACCAACTAACCCACCATATCAACAGGCTAAAGAAGAAAAATCACATGAAAATATCAACACATGGAGAAAAAGTATTTTAAAAATCCAACAGAAATTCATGATAAAAACTCTCCATATATTAGTCTCTCAGCTTAATAAAGAATATCTACAAAATATCAAAAACTAGCATTTAACTAATTAATTAATGTTTAGCTAGTATTTAATTATGAGAAACCAGAAGTTTCCCACTAAGATTGGAAAGATAATGATGTCCCCTTTCACCACTCCTTTTAACTCGTACTGAAAGTTTTAGCTAATGCAATAACACAAGAAAAGAAAATAAAGGTATAGTGTCTGAGAAGGAAGAAGTAAAACTGTGTTTGTTCACAGATGTTCACATGATTGTCTATGCAGAAAACCCAAACGAATCAACAAACAACCCCTGCAACTAAGCAATTATAGCAAAGTTGCAGAATACAGAGTTAAGGTACACAGTTCTGTTGCTTTCCTACACACTAGCAATAAACAAGTGGAATTTGAAATTTAAAACACAATAGCATATACATTAGCAAAATGTATCGTAATATGAAATACTCAGGTAAAAACTGAACAGAATATGTATAAGATCACTATGAGGAAAACTACAACTCTGTTGAAAGAAACCAAAGAACTACATGAATGGGGAGATATGCCATGTTCATGGATATGAAGACTCAATGTTGTCAAGATGTCAGTTCTTCCCAACTTGAGCCACAGATTCAACACAATCCCAGTGAAAATCAAAAAACTGGTTCTCAAGTTTACATGGAGAGGCAACGAACTCAGAACAGCCACACACTATTGTAAAGTAACAAAGTTGGACAACTGACATACTTGACTTTCAGGCTTCCTCTAAGGCTACACTAGCCAAGACTATGTGATGCTGGCAAAAGCACAAACAGATCAGTGGGAGAGAACAGAGAGCCAGCAACAGTCAACTGACATTTGACAAAGAAGCAAAGGCAACACGGTGGAAAACCACGCCCTTCTAAATGGTAACAGAGGAGAAAATCTAGACGACTTGGCAAGGACTTTTTAGATAAGACACCAAAGACGTGATCCACGAACGGAAGAACTGATAAGCTGGGGTCACGAAAATTAAACATTTCTGCCCATGAAAGATACTGTCAAGAGAATAAAAAGACAAACCACAGATTGGGAGAAAGTATTTGTAAAAGACACATTCGACAAAGTACCATTATCCGAAATATACAGAGAACTCTTAAGACACGACAAGAAAATAAGCAACCCAAGCAAAAAATGGACCAGAGATCCTTGACCGACACCTCTCCGAAGAAGACGTGCAGAAGGCGAGTTAGCATGTGAAAAGCACGTTAGTATGCAAATGCAAATTAAAGCAGCAATAAGATGCCGCCACACACTTATCAGAATGGCAGAAGTCTGGAACACTGACGCCACCAAACACGGGAGGGTGTGGAGCAAGAGGAACTCTCATACTTTACCGGTGGGAATGCAAAATGGGTGGCCAGTTTAGAAGACAGTAGCAGTTTCCTATAACCCTAAACATACTCTTACTATGCAATTCAGCAGTCCTGCTCCCTGGTATTTACCCGAAGATTTGACAATTCACATTCACATAAAAACCTGTGCTTGCATGTTTATAGCAGCTTTATTCATAATTGCTAAAACTTGAAAGCAACTAAGATGTCCTTCAGTAGGTGAATGAATAAACAAACTGTGGTCCATCCAGACCACAGAACATTATTCAGCTCTAAAAAGAAATGGGTTATCAAGCCATGAAAAGACATGGAGAAAGCTTAAATGCATACTACTAAAGAAAGAAGCCAATCTGAAAAGGTTACACACTGTATGATTCCAACATATGACATTCTGGAAAAGGCAAAACTATGGAGACAGTCAAAGATCAGTGGTTGCCAGGTTGGGGGTGGGGAGGGATGGACAGGCAGAGCAGAGAGAACACTAGGGAGAGCGAACGTTCAGCGTGACACTATGCTGGGGGGCAGGGGACATCGCGGTTTGCCTCTGCTCAAACCCACAGAACATACACCACCAACGGTAAGCCCTAGGTAAACTACGGACTCTGGGTGAAAACAACGTCGGTGCAGGTTTGTCAGGTGTAACAAACGCTATCAGGGATGCTGGGCATGGGGGAGGGGATGCACGTGGGGGGAAGCACACGGGAAAGTCTCTATTTTCTCCCTAATTTCGCTGTGAACCGAAAGCTGCTCTTAAAAAACAGTACAGTCTTAAAATACAAAAAGTGAGTAAAAAGGAAAAGTGCAGCCAAAACCCCAGAGTGAGAACTATTACGAGGCATAAAGAACGTCCCTCCGCTATGTTAGGGGACCCAATTCATCAAGAAGACACAAAGACACTAAACGTTTACATGCTTAACAGAGCTTCAAAGCGCACGAAGCAAAACTGAGAGAAGAGGCACACTCACATTTAGAGTCAGATCTCGACACGCCTTTCTCAGCAGCTGACAGAACAAGTGGTCAAAGACGCAACACTGGAAGAGCACTGTCAACCAACCGACCTGACTGCCGCTTACAGAACAAAGGACGTGCAAATATTCACAGCAGCTCTGTTTATAACAGTCAAAAGTGAAAATAATCTAAATGTCCACCAGCAGGAGAATGGATAAACAAATCATGGTAAATCCATACAATGGAACACTACTCCATAATTTTAAAAAACCAACTGTTGATACATGCAACAATGTAGATAAATCTCAAAATAATTATTCTGAATGAAAGAAGCCAGAGAAAAAGGGTAAAACCTGTCTGATTCCATTTACATAAAACTCTAGAAAATGCAAGCTAATATGAAACTTTTACTTAGAATACGTAAAGAACTTCAAATTAACAGGAAAAAGATAATTCAACAGAAAAATGGCCAGAGACTGAGCACATATAACACAAAAGAGACCTCCAAATGTCCTATAAATGTGCACAAAGGTGTGAAGCCTCATTAGTCACCAGGGAACTGAAAATTCTAATTAAGTGGTACTACACCCACCAGAGGGGTGACAATAAAAGGACCAAGTACAGGTGAGGACACAGATCAACAGGGTCCTCACACAGCATCTGAGGAAGTGCAGATCCATACAACAGCTTTGGAAGTCTCGGCATTACCTTTTGAACTAAACACATGTGTTCCGTTCCCTAGGACTCAGCAATTGTACACACTGTGAATGAAGAGACATATAAGAGAACGTGGTGATCAAAACAGAAACAAACCAAATCTCCAATAATATCTAAGAATGGATGAAGTGTGGCCCAGTCGTACGGTGGAATACTATGCAGTTGTGAAAAGGGACCACGGGGGTGCATCCCATGAACATAATGGGGAATAAAAGAAGCTAGCAAAAAAGCAGGTGTACCACGTGCTGCCAACTAGACAACGTTCAAACAGGGGCAAACTGGCCGTCGGTGCTAGAGGTGAGGGCTGCGTCGCCTCGGGGGAGAAGGGAGCAGGCCGACAGGAGGCACACCTGAGTGCACTTAACATCTGGGACGCGTCTTCCGAAGTCTTTATACTCAATGAAAAGTGGGAGAGATGAAGCCGAGACCTGAATGTGGGCTCAACTCATCAAGTTGTGTTGAAGAAACACATAAACACCTCTCTCAGCTCAGTGGGAAAAAGTCAAAATAGAGATTTCCCTTGAGCGATGACGCAGTGAGTGCCACTATAACCAAAAGTTAAAGAAATTTTCAAGACAAATACAGTTTGGGCTTATATCCTGTACTTACCAGTTTCAAACTCCTGAGCCCCAAAATGAAGATAAAAATTGTCCCAACACCAAAAAGACTGATAGAAATTATTTTTCTATTTCTTACAATAAAACCTGTTTTTAAGGTTATTCAGACAATTAAATTCGCATGAAATAGGCTTCAGAAAGAAAACTGATGTCTATTAAACTATATCAGTTTGATGTTAAAGATTCTGCAATAAACACAATAAACTTCCTTAAATGTAAAAAAATAAACAAAAATTCAATTTGTCTTGACTGTATTAAGATAAACCTTTTCTTCTCATATTCTTCCTCGAGAAGAAATTTTAAATAATTTAAAATTCTTTAAATTTTATTTTTAAATAAAGTGACTCCAGAGAGTTTTCTTTTTTTTTAATTTTCTAAAACTCAAAACTGAGTATGTTCTTGTTTCATTGGCATTTTTCTCCCATAGTTGGCAGCTGAATCCACAAGGGGCAACACCACCCAAACCGCATCAGAGAAGCAGAGCAGTGCCAGCGAGACTCTGAGGCCCAACAGAAAAACCCACGGAGCTTTGTAAACACCTGGTGGGACGGGCCCTCCGTGCTCCAGATGCAAAGTGCATTTCCACCCAAAGGGAAAGCACGGTGCCGCCTGCAGCAAGCAAGCTGGACGCGGGACGCGGGCGCCCTGGAGTCCACCAGGGATTCCTCCACCACGATACCGCCCAGGGGCCATCGTTACCGGAGATCTCTCCTGGTTCCTCCACCTTCAACCGGAAAACGCAAAGTACCTACACGGCGACTGTGGGTAACAGTTATTTACTCGTGACCACCAGTACAGTCACGCCCACTACTCACCCCTCCCCACTCCCCAGAAAAAGCAGCAGAAATCACTGAAAACCCTGGGGGCTCCCCACCAAGACTGCTCGCTGCTCCCACGGACTCAGGCTCAGCAGTCTTGTTCCAGCCCCACTGCTCAGATGTGGGCGCCTGCTTCTCCAGCTGAGAACAGGGACACCCCTGGCAGAGGCCTTGCGGGGACCAGACAACAGTCCGGGAGCGCTGGCACTGAGGGGCATGTTCAGCGAGATGTGACCAAAACTGATGACAATTATCAACGATTAACATCAAGGTTATGTTTTAAACTACAGAAAATTTGTCGGTGCTGAACTACAAAACGGTCCCTACCCACCACACATCCGGAATGCACTCAGCTCTTCCACAACATCCTGTGCCACTAGAGCGATTTATCTCACACTATATAATCACTGCCTCGCTGCCTAGGTCTAACAAGACATAAAGAAATGCTGACGAAAATGCAGTAAGTTTCAGACTTTGCCCCACCTCACGGGGAACACCTCCACAGTCATTTCCATGGAGCAGTGGCCCCGCCGTCACCTTCCATCCTGTCTGCCTCCCCCTCATTACAGGCACAGAACACCTGTGGGCTCAGCGACAGGCCCGGCTGCCAGTCTGTCCAGTCACCAGCTGGAGACAGCCCGACAGCAGTGAGTCGGCAGCCGGGGCCCAGCCACGCTGCACCAGCCCGACCAAGTTGGCTCACCCAGAGGTTCAGGGTGAGCCCGTCTCCCCAGGTCGGGGTCTGAGCCAGGAGGAGGGTCATGGGAGTGCGTGCCCACCAGCTGAGGCCTGTGGCTTTCTGTGTCACACGGATGCTGGGAGCAGCGGGCAAGCCCGCCGGGCTCCCTCTGGAAGCTGAGCGGGCCCAACGCGGGGAGAACCGCAGCCCGACACAGTCTGGCCCTGCCGGCCTGGCCCTCCAGCCACTGGACCCGGCAGGGCGACGGCAGAGGCTCCGGAGACGGAGGAGGCACTCGGTGGAAGGAGCCCGGTCTCCTGGCCCGCAGCACTGGGCTCCCCTGTGCAGCAGAAAGCAGACCATTCCTCAGGCCTGGCACGTGAGATGGCGTGACAGCCACCCTGACCCCGCAAAGCCTAGTCCCTGCGGGCGCCGCACTGACCCTGCAGGATGTAACTTAGCACCTGAGTAGGAGCAGCAGGCCCGGTGTGGAGACAAACCCAGGAGGCTGACAGCTCAAGACTTGCGGTGCGCAGCCACAAAACCTCTGGTTAAACTCTACTGTGTGATGACCTGGGAGACAGATCCTGCTTGCTGACCCTGCAGCCCCCAAGGAAATGGCGGGAAACAATCAGTGTTTGTGCCAACATGTAAGTTGGCTTAAGCAAGCAGGAATGAGTGGGAACAGAGTATCCAGAAGCCTGGAGACTTCAGGGGTGCAAACTGGGGCCCCTCAAAGCACTAGGGAGAGACTCAGCCTCCCAGGGAATCAGATCAAGGATGGTCGCCCTCCGACTCAAGCCTTCGGCTCCTTTAATCTCAGGCATCAGCCATTCATTGTCAAGAGAAAACAAGGGAGGGCTGTGCACACAACAGAAAAGGTCGGGCTCCTCCAGCACACGGGCGGTGGCAGAGCTGATGGGGTAATGCGGACCGGTCCTGCTGTGCTCCTGAGACCACCCGGAGGCCACAGGACCCTGGGCAAGTGCATGAGACGGTACCGCTGGGGCCCCGTCTTCACAGCTGCAGGAAGGGGGCCGTGGCAGCCCCATTCTCACAGCCTCTTCAGATGACAACGCGAGGGAGAGGTCCGAGAGGAGGACCAGGACCCCCCACAGCACAGCAGGTCAAGGTCGAAGTGGGAAACTCCACCCCCTGCCCCGCTTCAGCCCTGCTACAGACCAGTCCCCCTCAGGAAGGGGAGCAGATAGCCTGCTTTTTTAGTTCACAGGTCACTGGATCATGGGGAACCACCTCCGGCCTGGGGAGAGAGCTGGGCCTTGCTGGGAGGTGCCCTGTGTAGTGCTGGACGCCGTGACCAGCCAGTGCCCTAGGGAGGTGGGTTCCCCCTGTGGGCTCAAGACTGCAGCAAACACCTGGTCACCAGGAAGGAAGCCACACCAGGGCTGCCCCTTGTCCACCAGGCCACCCCTGTCCTCCCGGAAGCCACACGGGTGGGCTTCCTTTCCAGACAGATGCCGCCAGACACCAAGTTCTGAACGGGGCAGTAGTTTGGGGGAATGTGGGTACAAGTGAAGGAGGCCACCTACCAGCCCAGCCCATAAAACTCTACTGCCCAACTCTCTTCTCTCCCCCAACTACTGGCTAAGTGCAGAGGTTTTGGGGGGGCCCACTGAACAGGGAACCAAAGGATGGACGGGGTCTCTGATTGCAGCCAGCTCCAACAAGACCCAGCGGGCAGGACACATGCTAATCCGTCAGGGTCCTTCACTACAGCACTAGCCTACCCTCCCGGGCAGAAATCGTTTAACTTTTCTCATCTACAACAACAGCACAAAGCAAAATATTCAAATAATGCAGAAACAACACAGCTAGCCTTTACCCCTTGACCCCCTCTCCTTGCTGTGCCTTCCCCAGGGAAAGTCAATGCAAGAGTCTCCTGTGCGCATCACAGGAACAAGTCTGAAAGGACGCACTACAGGTATCTTTCAATGGGATTCTCGTGTGTCTCAGACGACATAAGCACTTTATGAGGACGTGAAGACAAGGGGCTGTGAAGGATCCCTGTGTCAAAGTTAAGTCAGTAAACACAAAGCAGACGGCGATCCCAGATAACT